TCATGGCACGGTCAGCAACGCCCTCTACACCCACCCGCCTTCATGATCTGCGGTGCCCCCTGCCGAAGGTGTACATACTCGCGCATTCGTCACCCACCCACCCACCCACCCCAACAACTCGCGGCGCCCTTTTCAGAAGGTGCACACAACCTTGCATTCTCTCATACACTCGCCTTCATGATCTGCGGTGCCTCCCGCAGACGGAACATTCACCACAGCACTCTCTATGCTCCCACTCACTCGCCTTCAAGACAAGCAGCACGCCCTTTCAGACGATGTTCCCAATTCTCCACTCCCCATCACCCATCCACTTCGCGTTCATGATCTGCGGTACCTCCCGAGGGAAACATACTTTCCACTCTCCACACCCACTCGCCTTCGTGACATGCGGCACCCACTTTCAGAAGTTGTACACACTCTCATCTACCCACTCCACCCCACCCCACCCACTCACCTTCATGATCTGCGGAGCCCCTTGGCGCAGGTGCGCCCGCGACCCCGTCAGCTCGGCGAGTCGGGCCGCGCCGCCCATCGACTCCTCCAGCTCCGACGCGTATTTCTCCGTGCTCCCGTCCGCCCAGATGGGGCTGTCTTCCACCGCGAAGCACCCGGCAAACGTCTCCGCCAGGCCTGTGTACCATCAGCGCGTGGGGACGCGCACCGAGAGCAGACACGCCTCCTTTTGTGACACGTTTTTTTTTTCTTTCCTTCTTCACCTTCCCCCCCCGGTGTTTGCCATCGGGGTTGGGTTTCCGTCGCTTGGCAACGGCGTTTCAAAACAAGCCAATTCGTGACCTCGTCAACCAGGTTACCGCTTCTTTTTTTTACCCCTATTTCTTTATTACGGTAACCATGATGGTGGTCGAGTAGATCATGTTGTGCGGGGTCGAGAACCGTCACTCTGCGCAAGGGGGATGATCGCAACACGTTGTGTTCAATTGGTCAAGCACCCTCGAGGCAGCTACACAGTGCTCACCACTGTCTCTCGCATTGAAAGCACCAGAAAATTATCAAGCCATACGCAGCTGTCATCCGTACGCAAGGGAGTAGGCATAAGATGCCGAACACCCTTCGCAGGATGCAGCGCACCTTTCATGCGACTCGCCAAATATCTCACGGCGCTTCGCGCTTGGTGATGTGAGAGCCTAGTCCGGTGAGAACCCGGTGTGCTCCGTCCCCGCTTTGTAGGGATGCGAGCTCAATGGTCTAACGACTATGGCATTAACAACTATTAGTGCACACACGCACACCCGCCCCACCCGGTGGAGTGGTAGGACGGGGGAACGGGAAGGGCTACAGGCGGGGCCAGGCGGTGTTTAAATCGAATCCGACCGAGCACAAAAATCGATTGTTCGCCTGGATCGTCGGGTCATCGAACGGGGGTAGTGCGAGAACATGCTGTGGGCGGGGCGTTGCCACACCTAAACCTAAACTTGTCGCCGAGCTTTTCGAAGGTTCACGCGAAGCAGGTATCCAGGAGAGACAGAGAGGAAGAGACAGAGAGGCACAGAGAGAGAGAGAGGAGTCTTCCTACTTCCTAAAAATACACACACCGTCATCGCTGCCGCCGCCGCCGTTCGATTCGCTCTCGTCTCCATGTGGCGCCCCAGCCATATCCTCGAGCCTCTTCTGTGAGCCCTTGGCCCAGTACACTGTCCCGTGCTGCTGCCCGCTCACGGAGACGCCCCGCACCGCGGAAAGGTCGATTGCGGCCGTCTCGCCCTCGGGATTCTGTCGGGGGGGCAACGCAGCAAAGACCATGCGGGGTACCAGCACTCAGGGGGTGTACTCGTGTAAACACATGTCGCAGTCGTAGACGATTGACCTGGCATGCCTACAATGCCGGGACGGAGGAGCGATACGCCGGGTAGCCCTCCGGGGGGGTATGCATCAAAGCTATGACGTAGCTTGTGTTAGGTCGGCTGGGTGCTGCAGAATTCAACGGCAGTCACCCAGAACTAACACTCGAAGCTTACCTGTGAAGCTTCCCGGCACGGATCGTTCCCAGAGATGGGAGCGTCCTCCATGGGGGCTGGAGCACGATATCGGGCTCTCGGAGGGGCTAGACGAAGCATTTCTGTGCATTGTAGACCCGAGACTCGTGACGTGCTAAACCGTATCGTACCGTACTGTTACTGAGAGCCCACACACACGTGCGTGGGCCAATGGGACGCTTGGCGATAATTACACTGCCGGTTCAAGCACTGATGCAGACCCTGGAAGCTGAGAAAACGAAAACTGGCGGGTTCTACTATGTATATGGACCTTGCCAGCAGTCTGCCGCACGTTCGGCTTCAGCACACTGCACAACGCCAGCACGCTGATTTGTTCGGGTGGAGGTGTGTTTCTTTCCACTGGCAACATCGCCCGTGCGTGCTGACACCGCAACAACAGCGGCGACTCGCGAGCTCCACGCTCTACGGCAGCAGTTCGGTGGGTGGCTGCGCCTCATCCCGGCGGCGCCCGAGGCCCCGCTTCCATACAACGAAAGTGGTCGTCAAATCTGAGCCGCCAAAGATCCGGCACAGCTCTTAGCTGATTAATGCATCTTTCCCCCATAATACGAGCCAACACCCTAAAACGCGATGTTGAGAGACCAGAAGTCAAAACCCGCTTCATGGCGGGGTAGTCGTACGCGTCACAACATCATCAACACGGAAAACACACACAGGTACGTGTGAACTGACGCAAAAAAAGCTCCATGCCGATAGAGGGGGGTAAATCGTTCGCGTTACAATCCCACCAAAGGTACGTGTGCGGGTCACAGGACGACAAAAATAGCAATTACCTTGAGCCGCTGCAGCAGTGCCTCCAGCGCGTGCAGCCACATCGCCACCGGGGAGGTGACCTATGTAGACGAGAGTCGAACGGGACAGCGGTGCCAAGACAGCGGTGAGAGGCGCGATGAAAGCACAGCACACGAGGGGCTCTTACACGACCTTGCGGAGGACCATGACAAATGAGATGCTGTCGCTCTGTGCTCACATCCACGTTGCTGCGATGCCTCTTCAAAAGCCTCGCTATGTATACGATGGAAGAACTGTGTCGATGTCGGCTCACAATGAAAACCGCGGTGGGACCAGGACAAGCATGCCAAATTCGCGCAAGGCTACCGTATATGACACAAGATAACACACCCCCTTGACCAATTTTCGAAGCTCGATTTCTCAACTGCAGGAACAGTCACAACGCCGAAAACGGTGGCGTTGAAACCGTCTCGTCGACAGCTTTTCGAAAATGTATCGTTTCGTTTGTGCATCCTCTTCGTCGTGGAGTAATAGAGCTTTGAAAATCGGTCCAGGGGGTGTGTTATCTTGTGTCATATACGGTATTCGACATTCGTGTCGGGGTCATGCGGGATGATCGCGCACTTCCGTGTACGCGCCATACTGCAGGCCGGTAGTCACGCTTCCGCTGCTAAAGGACTGGATGCCCCACGGCAACGACGTTGCTGGCAGACATAACATCGAACGACAGCTAATGCATCAAGAACACTTAGACACCTACCACAAAGACGCGAAGAACAAACTGCGGCTCCTTGACAAGTCGAATCTCTTTCGACTCAGCAACTCTTGACGGTACCGCTGTTGCAAATGATTGTCCAGGGTCGTTTTATCTCATTTCGTGACTGCGTTCTTGGGTAAGAAGACGTGTGAACCCTACTTTACTCTTCTCCCTGCTGTACCTGTTCGTTGACGACCTTCATCCCGTTCTTGGAACCGTAGCGCTGCTCGACAGGCAGGTCCTTCTGAACAAGTCGGACGACAGGGGGTGACACGTGCAGGATGTAGAGTATTTTGCAGCAGACAACATGGTCTTCATAGGGCAGCGTAGAGAAGCGAGGAGGAAGGAGGAATGGCGATTTGCTCATGTGTGGTATGGGCAGGGGCGGATTTGTTCCATCTGTTTCACCCTACTAGCTCGAGGTGGTGACGAGTGTGACGATACGCACATGCACGTTTTTCCCTGATCAGGCAGCCTGTGTACAAGTACAGCAGTAGAGGTAGAGCTCGTCATGCCGGCAAGACTGCATGTATACATGTACCGTATATAACACAAGATAACACATCCCCTGGACCGATTTTCAAATCTTGATTTCTCAACAACAGAAAGAGTCACGGCGCCGAAAATGGCGGCGTTGGAACCGCCTCGTCGAGAGCTTTCCAACAATGTATCGTTTCGTTTATGCATCTTCTTGGTCGTGGAGTAATCGAGCGTTGAAAATTGGTCCAGGGGGTGTGTTATCTTGTGTCATATACGGCATGATGTTGCACACACCTCGTAGTTGATCGACTCCAGCAAGATTGGTTCGTTGAAAGTCCCTCCCACTCCGTCGCCCCTGAGGACCGCTGCAGTGAGGCTCTGGGTGCTGAGGTCCAGCCCTAGCCAGAGTGGTTCTCCCTGCTCCTCCTGCCCCTGCCGGTCCTGTGTCGCCATCCTGGGACACATGAACACGCGGTTGCCCCGCCGTTTGGGATCACCAAGACCGATTGGCAACAATTCCCTCGTTTCGGATTGATGGCCTCGTCGCTCGCAACATCTGCCTCCGTTCAACGAGCTGGATGGCTCCAAGGCCACCGTTGAGGTCGCTCTGGGAGCTAGCAGCCAGGCCTGCGCCCTACTAGTCAGGATCGTAAGCACCAGAGCATGGAGGAATCTTGAAGATCTGCTGCTGCTGTGGTTGTCTAGGCGGGGATGAGCAACAGCAATGTTCCGCTTGGTGCAGGCACGGCAAGCGCTGCTGCAGAAAGGGAAGCTGCGGTTCGGAGCCCTCCTTCGCCGGTAAGGCGTCGCGTCCTTCCCCGCTGAGGACATCTTTGTGTTGCCCTGTCTGGCCGTCTGGTTGGTGTGCTGTCCAGTGGACCTGTGTGCACTTCCTCTGTTCCTGCGGCCGGCGGGGTGGAGAGGCTTTACACATGGCCGTTCATTAGGCACCTATGCCCAAATTCTGTCTGCGACTCCCCCTGGTCCGCCCAGTACGTGCGAAGCACGTGGTACGGGAGAGGTGTATTCGAAGCACCACCGTCTCCGCAAGACGAGTCACGCGGGGAAGTTCAGTGCTCGGGAGCTTTGTCCCCTGCGCCGGCAAGTTGCGTGGCACCAGCTGCTTTGTTTCCAAAGGTTTCGGACCTCGTTACCACCAACACCGCACAAAAAAAAACGTGTCGCGTGTGATCTCCGCTTCTTTGGCTCGCAGACGAGGGCCCTACACACAACGTCGAGTTGCCACGGCAGGCGGTAGGCGGAGGAAGGAGCACGTTGCAGCCGTAGCCGGGCAAGCCATCCCCCATGGGAGACAGGGATCCCTGCCCCCACCGCATCGTGGGCGATGTCGGGGGTGCTTTTGCTTTCGGTCTGGTGGGTGGAGGGATCTGGCACAGCGTCAAGGGCTTCAGAAACTCTCCCAAGGGCCAGGGCACACAGGGCGCTCTCAAGGCAGTGATGGTGAGCAACAATGAGCAAGAGAGCTCTGCCAAGAAATATTGATGTGCACACCCATACCTCCACCCCAAAGTCTTCATTGCTCTGAATTTTGGCCCTGATATTTGTACTCTTGTGTCCACCATGCACGCTGTGGGTGTTTGAAATCTGGTGCCGTGGTGAGGTGAAAGACAAGTCGTGAACACGCCCTGCTGTTTCCATGGGGACGCATACTGCTGTAATCGCCCTTGCGGAAGCATGCACGGTGTGCTGCCGTAGAGTGTGACGCCGCCCATTGCATGCCCATGTGCAGTTTTAAGTACTCCTTGTCATAGTGTATGTAAGGTAGTGCATAGTGACGCCCACTAAATATACTCCCCGTCATATTAACAGCAGTGGTCGTGCCCACGGAGGCAGCCAAACAAAACGTGGTCTGTTGTGTTTCTCGGAAGTGAACTCCCCGCGGCCGGCTACTTCCGCTCTGCTGCTACGCATAAGCTCGCGTATCTGCCGTACGAAGTCGCGGGGCGTATCTCGAGTGGCGATCCCCCTATCGAATTCGACGTCAGGACAAACAAAGCCTTGGGCAAATAACTCGTCGGCGAATATCAACATTTCCGCGTTGCATACTCCTGCAGGCAACTTCAGAACTTCATAATGACATCGACGCATAGGCCAGCAACAACAGCTTATATACTGTCAATAGTGGGAGGGGGGGAACGTCGATGCCTGCACAGCTACTGATTGATACCACTGTCACCGCTATCGATCTTGAAGCGCTGCTTGGCGGTAGCCAGTTGTTTACGTTATAACGCTCTCATGCGCCTCGCCGCCACTCCAACAGGTAGCCGGTGATTGGGATTTCACATACTGTAGTCACTGATGACATGGGCAGCCAGGGTTACGACCCTCATCTCGATGCTGGTTGATCTCAACCTTTCGTATATTGTATGTGTGTGTCCCGCATGCAAGCAGTTCTATAGTGCCTCTTTACATCGCGTGCGGACCTCCATGTGGGAAACGCTAGCGATTAGCGACAGAGCAGAATGCTTTCCGTATTGACGGGCGATACCGCGTTTTTTTTTATTGTGGCGAGTGCAATGGTTAGGCGGAGTGAGTCTGTTCGAAACTGGACGCAAACGCCATGCGAACCCACCGCTAGAAAGCGCACGCCTTTGCGGCAGCGGTTGCTCGCCGCACATGACCCGGTTCTCGACTTCCTGGCGCGGCGGTTGATCGCGTTTCTACTACCGCACGTGTTTCTCCCGGTCTGCGCTTGCAGCGGAACCCCCGAAAGACTAGCGTTTTGCAGAGGTTTTCTACGCGCTACTGTGCCCGGCAATGCTTGACGTTTTTTTATGCAGGAGTCTTGGCAAGATTTTATGTTGTGGGCACTCTAGGCCACGCGTTGGTTTGTTGAGTGAGGACGGTTGAGTGTCTGGTAGATGCCTGCACGCGTGCGCATGCGCGGCGCCTAAAAGATGGCGCGCCGCATGGCAGTGAGTGTCGCGCTCCTCCGTGGTCCTCCAACTCTCCGCCTACCCTATTCGTTCCTGCCGCCTGTGCGTCGCCAACACCCCCCCCCCCCCCGCCCCTGGCCCACCTGCCTCGCACCTTCGCGCTCGTTTGGTATCTACCTCCTCCTCCTCCTCCTCCCACCACAGTACCGCGCGCCGGTGTTGGGGGGAAACTTCGCTGTCTGGGGCGCCCTCTTCTCGGTGTGCGACTGCTCCCTGGTCGCCGTCCGCCACAAGGAGGACGCCTGGAACCCCATCCTGTCCGGTGCCGCCACCGGCGGCATCCTCGCCCTCCGGGCGGGACCCCGGACCGCCGCTAAGAACGCCGTCGTGGGCGGCGCGTTGCTGGCCGTCATCGAGGGCATGGGCATCCTCCTGTCTAGGTATATGGCGCAGGCGGAGCCCCCGCCGATGGAGGCCGGGGGCGACGCGGGGGGGGCCGGGGGGGGGCTGGGTGCCCCGCAGGCGCCGCGACCACTCGGGCTGGCGCCGCCGCTGCCGCCGGTCGGGGCGCCCACGGGGTACCGGCCGATGGGGGACGGAGGCGAGGTGGACTCCTCGGCGACTAGATCCCACGACGTGGTCACCGGGTCGGGCTTCGAGACCGGGTCGAGGTTCGAGGACACGCTGGCCACGCAAGATCCGTTCGCGTCGAACACGGGGGACCGTTACCTGGAGGGCGGGGCGGGGCCACGGGGGGCGGGGGACGCGGCGGCGGCGGCAGAAGGAGCCGAGAGCAGAGGCTGGTTTGGGAGGATGATTGGCCGAGGGGGCGGCAAGTGATGCATGATGTTGTGTATGCAGTCGTCGTCTCGTTTTTTTTTTTTTTGTGGTGGTGCGGTTCTCCTCAAGCGTTGTTGAAGGAGGGTACGGAAACGAGCGGCGGTAGGGGACGAGGCGAGAGAGCGGGGGAGGATAGCGAAGACGGTTGTTTTTTGCTGGCTGTTGATCTGGATTGTCTTATGGCTCGGGGCGTGCTGCTTCCGCTGCTGCCATTGCTGTACCCACCGCTACTTACTGTCGGTGGTCGGCATATTCTTGCACCCGTTGTTTCTTGCGTCGAAGAACTCCGCTTTAGTTTGTTGCCCATATCGATCTGTTGGTTGAGGCTGCAGCCGTGCTTCTTTCAGGCGTTCGTTTTGCCTGCCCCTCATACTCTACACGGGTAAGCGCACGGCTGCTGGTTGTTGTTGCTGTGGTTGCAGAGTTGAAGCTGAACCCCAAGGAACGTTAGTGGTCCACAAGCTTGTCAATGCCAACCACTCGTAGAAATCCTGGTACGATCTTGCGCCTGGTAGCATACGATCTTGCTTGTACGCGGGCTATAGATCATACCGCCGATACTCTACTACAGTCGGCGTTGCGGCAACGCCTCTCGATGCTGAGCTAAGTCCAGAAGTCCAGTCCTGCCTCAAATAGTTGTGTTTCGTCCGGTGGTGCACAACGTGTTTCCGTGAAATGAATGTGTCGCATGGTCTATATACTCTGTTCGCCACACGAAATGCCAGGTCGGCATTTTCCGACACATTTGCTACTCAGTTGCGTGCACGTCGCGGGGATTGGAGCCGAAAAACAAAACGGATGCCCGTTTCCGATGAAACGTGCAAGGTGCAACACCCGTATCAGTGATGTACAGTAGTAGCAGTCCTTCTCTAGGACGATAACAATCGCGTCGGGAGAACTTGTTGGAGGTTTCGGCTTCTTTTTGCTGCGAATGGGGTCCGCTCCAAGCCTACTTCCTTCATTTGACGCGTTACGAGGATTGCATTACGCCCGTAACTCCTAACTTGGTTGGTGGAGATGAGACAAGAGACCCGAAAGATGCCGTTCTAATATCGTATCGATGTTGATAGGCAAAGGTGGGCTCCATTTATGAGGACGCCCCCCCCAAACTGTCATCATTCTGAAACATCCACGAACAATATCTGCTCGCGAAGCATGGACGTTGCAACGTCTTGCCCATGTGACCACTACCCGCATCGTTGCGGTGCTTGATACAGTTGTGGTCGTGCTCGATCGTTCCCGAGACGCAGCTACCCTGCAGGTAACTGCCCTAGCTACCTCGGGATGCGCGCAGTTGCAATGTGCAAGAAGATACACTCATTAATTTACACCTCGATCACGTCTGCAATCCAGCGATGTTCCGTACGTATGCAAAGTACAGCGCCGTCTTGCCTTACAGTACGTCTTCTCCATTTGCTATCCCGCTATCCACCCTTTCCAGACAAAACTCAATCTGTCTTCCTACAACATCGAGACCAAGCAGTCGTTAATCATACCATCGACATACAGTCTTTCCACCCGAAAGGTGACCCCCCCTCGCAGGCAGTGTCCAGCTGTGGCCATCATCTATGGAAATGTCCTGTCCTTAGTCTAGACCTCTGGCCTACCTAAGAACCCACCGGGCAATGTTGAGTATGTTGTGTGTGTTTTCGTCCTATCAATTATGGCGACATTCCCCCCATTTTTCGTGGTGAGACGTATGCTACACTTTTCAGCGTATGTAAAAACTCTACACTTTTCAGTGTATTTTTTCGTACAACTACGACCATCCAGGGTCACACAGGAGGGGGTAAACACCAGGGCTTTTTTCTTCTATTTATTTCTTTTCATGCCCCACCTTCCTCCTGCGGCGCGTGCTGAATGTTTTTTTTATCGCGAGAAGAGTCCAGCCGTCTCTTTCCCTCGTCAACGGTGCTAACATCGAAGTTTGGTACTCACGAGAGCTTGTCAGCTATATTTCGCTTTCACCCGCACATTTCGCAAGTTTTTCACCCCGTGGGGATTCGATTTCACGACCTCTGCGACCAGCGGATTACATGGATACCACTAGACCACCGGGGCGACGAGGGGGTATATCCCGCACGAGTCGACATATTTGCTGCAAACATGCTGCTCGGAAACACAGGGGTGCTCCACAAGCCAGCAAGTTTCAAACCGCCGCAGCTCGTTGAACGCTACGATTGAACCTATTTAACGGATACCTTGCCGAAGCAGTGTTCACAAGTATGTTCGACTATTAACAATGTACTCGCAAAATAGAGAGCTCCAACAAGAGTTCTCTGGCCAAGGAAAAAATAATATTTTTAGTATGCCAATTGTCCAGCTATTGACAACTAGGGTCTACATAGATTCGATCTCTCCTCTACATCGAACATTCCTAATATAAATCAAAAGGGGGTGAAGGGCACCTGCCTGTCTGTGTACAGATAGCATCAGATCCGCTTACTTGATGGGTTCATGAAAAACACAAAAACAACCGAAATGAAATGAACAATACATTTGAAACGAAAAATGAACAAAAACAATCTCACAATGCGACCAGAAAGCGTGTCAACCGTAGCGGTGCCGAGCGTATGCTAACATCAGTTGCTGCTATCGCTCGGCATGCTCTCACTCCTGCACGATTACACAGGCTATAGATTAGTGATTGTTGCTCAGGGGCTAAACATCAACGTCATCCGAAGTACTCCGGCCGCCAAGAGCACTCAAGTTCACCTCAAAAAAATCGTGGTCGAAATAAAACAACGGCCAAATTGTTATCCGATCAGCCATTAACACCATAATAATACGAAAATTGCACAGTGTACAAATACCCCGGTTACGACCTCCAACGACGGATCGCCTACCTATCCCAGAGGTATAGCTTTCAGCCCGCCTGGTGGACGGGGGCGCGGGGACATACAGCACGGAAGGCGTGGCGTAGTGCGGAACGCACGCAACCATCGAGGGGCCTACTATCCTTCGCAGCTCCCCCTCCTCAATCCTACATTATGTACTTATCAGCAAAATCAATAGAACGGTAGCCAACAATAAGCGAAAGAGATGGACGGGCGGCCACAACCGTATCCACACCCGCGCCCGCCCGCCAAGAGAGGAAATAGGGTACATCAGTGCTTTAATTACGTAGTCCCACCACGACGACAACCAAACAATACGACCAGAATACGGTAGGACGAAAGCAATTCTGCACGAGTCGCGACCCGGGGGAGTGTAGCGTCGAGCGCGCGCCTAGAAGTGGCATATTTGCTTTCAGATACAGTTTTTGCGTGCGCGAGGTGCGCGAACGAACGCTGACAGACAACATCCCCACGAGAAAGATCATCCATCCGCAAGGCGGAATGTTCAAAACCTAGGGCACGTAATGCAGAAATAGCAGATAATGCGAAGGCTGAGTGTTTTGGGGACCGAGGGAGAAGTTATTCCAGCGGTAGAACAAAGTCGATCAGGCCGTTGGCGCATTCGACCCCCACAGAGAAGTAGTCGAGGTCACTTTGCAAGACCTCGGCAGTTTTGAAGCTTGCCAGGCTCCAACTGGGTGGGAGCGATGGCGCACGTGTAGCGGGGCTTGACCAGGGGGATATTCCAGATGGACGCCTCCTGGAACAGGTGTTGGCCCACTCAAGCCTGGGGGTCGAGGAACCACACACTCTGGGCGTGTCGCGGGAGTAGGCGAGCGCGGCCAACACCTGCAACGTGGAAGTGGCAGAAAATGACACAGGGCTGCACGGTCAGCGATTGCAAAGAGGGCGCATCCCGCGCGTGATGGTGTAAATCGTTCTATAACAACGTCTCCATGACGACAAACACAAAAACACCCGATAACGCTTTCGCGCCAAAGCACCGCACCCCGCAACGTCAACACCAAACATCCTTCCCCGCACATACCCAAAGACGTGCCTGAGAGACAGCGGAGGCTTAGTCAAATTCGACCATTTCCTGAAGCGCGACCATTGAAGCCCCGTCGCCGTCGTGCTGCAGGCTGGCACCATGCCTTAGCCCGAGCGACTCCCGGAGGTCTTCGTTGGCACCGACGGGCAGCATCAGGTCGGTACCGTCCGTGAAGGACGGCGCATCGAACCCGAGTACCGACACCGAGCGGCGCCTCAGCTGGGCGTCGTGGTAGCTCCCCTGAAAGCCCGTGTGCACGACCAAGAGGTCGCCCCGCGGGGAGTGGGTGTCCTTGGAGGTGAAGAACCGGGAGAGATCGGACCCCGGCTTGACGTACAGGATAAGGGCGGCGCCAGCCCCGCAGTACTGGTCTGCGAACAGGCTCGCCGTGGCGAGGTTCTGGGTGCCGGAAACGGTGACGCCCGGGCGACCGCCCATGGACCTGCATCGGCGTCGAGAAAGAGAAGGAAAGGGGCAACAGAGACGGAGGTCAGGAGGCCTGTTTTCGAACACGGGAGGCCGCGCGCTCCTCGAACGCCATTTCAGGATCCATGCACGCGAAAACTCAGTGCACAAAATGACCAGGAGAACATTCAGCCATCGTGTGTAGCTTTACATTTCTTTTTGACCCACACGCTCACCTCTCGTACGTGTCAAGTCCCTCCGCCTCAGCCGCGATGGCCACCCTCATGCCCGGCATGAACTGCAAGATGATCTTCACCGTCACCTCCCACATGGTCTCCTCGCCCACCCGACCGCTGACGAAGGCGCACAGGTTGCGGCGCTTCAGGTCCTGGGAGTACGGTCGTTTGGCTGCCTCCTCGAAGAAAGAGATCACGTCCTCCCGGTCGACGTCGACGTTTGCAAGTTCTCCCTCGACACCGTCTGCTTCCTCCTCGCTATCCTCCACGCTGAATATCTTCGCTTCGCGAAGAGGGCGGCTCCCGTCGTCGGGGGTCAGGCGACGGCCGTAGACGTCCACCGGCATCACGGTCGAGCACCTGTCGAGATCAATCGGGCGAAAAGTGAGGGTAACTGGCGCACACGAAGTGTCGTAGATAGAGAGGTTAATATTAAGGCTACGTTACAGTCCCTGCTTTCGTGTCATGCAGACACGACCGCAATTTGTCGTTGGCGAACCAAGTTGAGGTCGAATAAGGCTGACTGTTCGAATCCCTTTCTAGCATTTTATGTATTCCTAAGGTCTATCATTTTATTTCATTGCAGCCATCTTGGACCGATAAACGAAAAGAGATGCGGGGGATTGGCGGGTAACCGTTCATTGCGCACTGTACGCAAAGAGTTTTCACAAGGTTCCGCTACGTTCAGGTGGCGTTTCACATGATCGCGCGGTTCTCAGGCGTGTCTTGCTTGCGGGCCTTGTCGACGTCGTTGAAGCAAGCGCGGCGTTCCTCTCCGTAGGTCCCCTGCTTGGCGTTGCATCCGCGGGTACCGTACACGTCGGGGGTCGAGCAGTTCGCGTCGCACACGCGTCCCCTGGTCCCATCCCTGCTGGTGTACTCGCAGCTGGACGAGCACCTGCTTGTGGTCACGATGACAAAGGGGTCGCGGCGGGAGGGGCGTTGACCAGGAATACGAGCTTGGCGGAACAAAATTGGCAACTGTGGTGTTTGGCCAACCGTTACGAATTCTTCGCGGCTTTGCCTTGTAGCCTGCCTCACAAAAATATTGTCGATCCTGCCGCCGGAACACCCAAGCGTTGGGAAACGCCCCCTCCGATGATTGCAAACAACTGGCATGCGATTGTATAGCCGCTCGTACGAGTCTTGTCCTGTCTCACAGCCGGCACGATTTAAACGCCGCTGTTGCCACCCTCAAACGCTTCAAAACATGAATTCATCTCGGCAGCAAGTAGCGCGGGACACCAACGCCACTCACGCTCCGTCCGAGAACTTGTTCTTCCACCTCTGGTTGGTCTTCCACTTGGGGGCCTTGTCGTCCTTGCTCGTCTGCCATTTCTGGTTGCGTTTCCACCTATCGCGATCCGAGAGCACGTTGAAGCACATGGAGAAGACGAGTGTGAGCGCATGACGACATGAGGACTAGTCATGGAGCAACACTGCGCCAACGATCTCGTCCGATGTATGTTCTCTGCGGACGTCGGCCGAACAACTTTCATGCCTTGCCGCAGACGTAGACAGCCTAGATTGCCACATGTATGGTTCAGTGCACCATGTACCACGAGAACAATTCTGCTGCATGGTGGGCCTGATCAGCTCCTCTCCGAAATGAGATACTCTACTGATCGACACCCTTGCACAAACCTAGACCCCGAAGAGGACCGTGCCTACGTGGCCATGTGCCACTATGCAAACAACGACACCTCCGCAAGTAGTTGACTTCCAAAGGGGGCCTGCGGTGAGAAGGGGGTACTTGGTGGCGATCACCAAGAAGGCGGTGTCTTGTACATCACCAATGACAACAATACCTGCTAGCACTTCCACCGCTTCGGAATACGCACTTGGGGATGCTGTCGTCCTTCCTGGTCCTCCACTTCTCCTGTGACCTCCGCTTTGGCGTACTCCCTGACAGCTGACGGTGCTCCTGTTCTTGCAACGGGGATGAAGTGTCCTCCTGCAAGGTCTCGAGGCTACGCGCGATGCGGAGAGGGTCGCTCTCGTCGTCGGGAGTCAGGCGGCGGCCGTAGCCTTCTACAGGCCTCTTGGTCGAGCACCTGTCGTGACCAATCGGGCGAGAGAGGACGCGAAAGGGAAGGGCGTGTGAGGGAGGAGTAATGGAGGGTGGAGAAAACCGTAGTCTGTCCGTAGTCTGTGTGTGCCTGGCGTCGTCGTCCTACAAGCGAGCGCGACAGCCGTTCATTGGCGGGACAACCGGGGGTGCGCCATTGGCCAAACCTATCGCCAAGGCCGAGGAAAAAGAAGACAGAATAAGACTGCACTGGGCGTCCTACTACTGCTGTCGCCCGACTCAAGTGGCGACCGTTCACTCCGAGAGGTTCAGGTGGCGTCTCACATGATCGCACGGTTCTCAGGAGTGTCCTGCTCGCGGGCCTTGTCGACGTCGTTGAAGCAAGCGCGGCGTTCCTCTCCGTAGGTCCCCTGCTTGGCGTTGCACTCGCGGGTACCGTACACGTCGGGGGTCGAGCAGTTCGCGTCACACACGCGTCCCCTGGTCCCATCCCTGCTAGTGTACTCGCAGCTGGACGAGCACCTGCTTGTGGCGACGACGAGCACGGGGTATCGGTGGGAGGGAGTTGCGAGAGGTTTGTGAAACGCTGCTGCATAATGCATGGCCACGAATGGAACGCGTCTGGCGCGAACTCCTACGCCATGGTATGATCCTACAGAGCACGCCGAAATCTGCCGCATACTCTAGACTTTGATAAGAATTAAAGAGTGGAGATTGCAGTGACCGGATCGCCTCGAGCTCCGTTCGCTGAAGGTTCAATTCTTCGACGACGGATGCTGACGTGGTGTAGTCATGCTGGACATGGACAGCGTCGTCGACCTCAATCGTACCACTGTGAATAATGATGCCGCAACACCCAAGCGTCCTCAGGCGATTGTGAACCACTGCCATGAGACTGTTAAACGGCTCATACGAGTCTGGTCCTATCTCACAACCGGTGCGGTTTTACGGCCGCTGCGGCCACCCCAAACGTTCCGAACATGACTTAACTATGCTTGACAACAAGTAGCGTGAGACACCAACGCCACTCACGTTCCGTCCGAGAACTTGTTCTTCTATTTCTTGTTGGTCTTCCACTTGGGGACTTGTCGTTCTTGCTCGTCTGCCACTTCTGGTTGCGTTTCCACCTATGCATACCACCATGCAAGAGCACATTGGAGAACATGGAGAACGACGGGTGTGAGCGCATGAGAAGGACGAGTCACGAAGCAGCACCGCCCCAACGACCCTGTCCGACGTATGCCGTCTGTGGATGTTGGGTGAGAGAATTCCATGCACTGCCGCAGACCTAGACGACTGAAAATCATAATCGGCCAAATACACGGGTCCGTGCACCCATGTACCACGAGACTACTCTTGTATGGTGGGGCTGACCACCTCCCCTCGTACATATATCAGAGACTTGACTGATTGGCGCCCGTTGCACAAACATAGAGCCAACAAGAGCCGTGCCTACGTGGCCATGCATCACTATGTGAACAATGCAGCTCTATCGGTACTGGACTTCCAAAGGAGGCCCATGGTGTGGAGAGGGTACGTTGTGGGATCATCACGACGGTGGTGCGTCGATCTGTACATGACAAACAATCATCACCAAAGTCAACAGCAACAACGCCAACACTCCAAACGCTTCGGAATGGTACGCACTTGGGGATGCCGTCGTCCTTGCTGGTCCTCCACTTCTCCTGTGACTTCCACTTCGGTGTACTACCTGACAACTGGTGGTGCTCTTCCTCTCCCGACGGTGATGATGCGTCCTCGTGCAAGGTCTAAAGATCACGCGCGACGCGGAGAGGGTCGCCGTCGCCGGCAGTCGGGCGACGGCCGTAGCCTTTTACGGGCCTCTTGGCCGAGCACCTGTCAAGGTCAAGATCAATCGGACGAGAGAGGACGCGTAAGGGAAGGGCGTGTTAGGGAGGAGTAAGGGAGGGTGGAGAATACCGTAGTCTGTGTGTTCGTGGTGTCGTCGTCCTACAAGCAACCGCGACGGCGTTTCCTCGGCAAGACAACTCGGCGTGCGCCATTGGCCAAACCTATCGCCAAGACTCGGCTGGGCGTCCTACTACAGCTGTCTCTAGACTCAACGGCGACCGTTCATTCCGAGAGGTTCAGGTGGCGTTTCACATGATCGCACGGTTCTCAGGCGTGTCTTGCTTGCGGGCCTTGTCGACGTCGTTGAAGCAAGCGCGGCGTTCCTCTCCGTAGGTCCCCTGCTTGGCGTTGCACTCGCGGGTACCGTACACGTCGGGGGTCGAGCAGTTCGCGTCACACACGCGTCCCCTGGTCCCATCCCTGCTAGTGTACTCGCAGCTGGACGAGCACCTGCTTGTGGTGGCGACGAGTAAGGGGTCGCAGCGGGAGGGAGTCGGGCAGTTGTAAAGGATATTGGAATGCGAGCTTCGTGGAACATGGCCGACTGCGAGCAATGAGTAGGCGGGTGCGCGAACACCTGCAGCATCCTATGAACCTACAGAGCACGCCGAACAGGTGAACCACGCTAAAAGTACTAAAATAGTGGAAAGTAACCGGATCGCCTCGAGTGCCGTGCGTTGACGGTTCACCTACGACGACGGATGCTGACGTGGTCGCCATGCTGGACATGGACAGAGTCGTCGACCTCACCTGTACCATTGTGAAGACTGACGCCGGAACGCCCAAGCGTTAGGCAGCATTTGCGCCGACGATCGTGAACCACTGCCATGAGACTGTCAAACCGCTCGCATGAGCCTCGTCCTGTCTCACAACCGCTACGCTTTTACGACCGTTGTTGCCAATGCAGCGCCCTCCAATAGTTCCGAATCATGATTCAACACACTCGACGACCTCTAGCGCGAGACGTTAGCGCCACTCACGCTCCGTCCGAGAACTTGTTCTTCCACTTCTGGTTGGTCTTCCACTTGGGGACCTTGTCGTCCTTGCTCGTATGCCGCTTTTGGTTGCGTTTACACCTGTCCCGTTGCGAAAGCACATTGAAGTCCATTGAGAAGGATGGATTAGCGCGAGAGGAGACAAAGACGAGCTATGGGGCTGCACGTCACCAACAAGCCCGTCCGACGTATGCTATCTGCGGGCGACGAGCGAGAAAATGTAATTCCAAGCACAACCAAAGACCTACTACTGTAGACGAACTTGGTTAATCAGACACCACCTTTATTTCCAACACTTGGTGCACAACAAAGAGGGACTGATCACTTCCCCTCCGAAATGACAGAGTCGCCTGATTGGCACCCCTTGTACAAACCTAACGACAACGGGTGCCGTGCCGTCCTGGGAAGAACCCACTGCAATTGAGGGAGGATTTGCGACACGTGGCGACTACGGGCGTCGTGAAGAGCTGAAATCCGGGTCAAGAATCCACGGGCTCCGCGTCTGTCAGAGGGTTTTGACACCTTACGTCTACGCCGTTCGATTCACCTTACGCCTACGCCGTTCGATTCAACGCGTTTAGCTACTCCTTGAATATTCCCGTAAGCCATTGCACCTACGTGGCCATGTATGACTATGCAAACAGCTACACCTCCACGAGTACTGGAGTTCCAAAGGGGGCCCGCGGTTTAGAGAGGGTAAGTTACCATGACGACGACGGTGGCGCGTCGATCTCGTACGTGATCACCAACGCCAACAGCAGCCCCAACCCTTCAACTGCTACGAAATACGCACTTGGGGAGGCTGTCGTCCTTGCTGGTCCTCCACTTCTCCTGTGTCTTCCACTTCGGTGTATTACCCGAAAGCTTTCGGCCACGGGTTTGTTTGGCGACGTCGGCGGTGGCGGTGGCGGTGCTCGCGGCGGCCGCTTTGGAGGCGACATTGCCGTCCCCTATGTTGCTTCCGTGGATGAACAGAGTGTTGCCCGCGACGGCGTCGGAGACCGTATCGTGACTCACGTGCTCGTAGCCGACGCACGAAATTGTTAAATCGATTTGCGCCGTGGTGACGGGTGGGTACAACGCAACGGGAGCGTTCGATGGTCGGACGGGTGTGTTTACCGATGATCCAGCAAGGGGCGAGAGGTTCGCGGTGTGCATCCTTTCGTATCTACTGCTGTGGATTGGCCTGTAGTGCGCTCTCGTCACCCGAAAAAAATTACATGCAAACACAGCAAGACTACCCGTTCGAGAGTATACCCTAAGTCGAATGGGATGCGCTGAAGTCTTTACAGTAGCAGTTTTTGTTCTTGTCTTAAAAAAAAAAACGTTCGTCTACCCTGTACCTTCTTCTGTCTGTACTAGTCTAACACATGACGCGGTCGCTTCCCGTGGTCACAGGCTAACTTCTCCAAAAAAGGTATACGAAAAAAAATTTGTGGGGAAAAAGACGACCCGCTTCTCGTCCGAACAGCCCAGCCGCCCACTACAACCTCACCCCTTTACCCACCAGGTTGGTCACGATGAACTTGCTCGAGTATCGCTGGTAGAGAGGCCAGCTGTAGGGGAAGTCCGAGATAGTCATCCACAGCGCCACGTCGTACGGGTGCTCGTATCCCCAGCGGGCCCGGGTGTACTCCACGTACTCGACGAACGCGGGGTCGTCGTTGTTGTAGATGGCGTTGCCGTTGATGTGGCCTAGCACCTGCCACATCTCCGACGCCTCAGCGCTCGAGTGGAACGAGGTGCCCTCGAGTTTGCTTCCTTTCACCCAGAACTCCTCGTTCACGCGGAGCGCGGCGTGGTAGAGCTCCTCGAAGGAGTTGTCGCTGGCGACGAGCACGTCCCACTCGACGGTGGAGAGCGCGTCGTACTCGGAGAGGCTGGAGCGCACGTTTTCGTCGAGGAACATGTTGTAAAACATGACGGAAGGGCCTTTTGGGTACATGTCATCCTGCGAGTACGAAATGGGATTTAAACAACCATTGTTGAGACACAATGCGAGAGGTAAAAAATTACAAATTACGCCGTTGTTCTAATGGCACTCGTGGGGGGCTGCAAGCCGCTTCCTTGAGATCGAGAAAGCGTCTGCTGAGCGTTTGGATCGCAACTACACTGCAGTACTTTCTTATTTTCGGGTGCATGTCATAGAATTCTCGAACAGGCGCACTAACATCATCACATGTGAACAGCAGCAAAGAAATAAAAACCTGCACGGTTGTTAGAATGCAGCCAGCCAACTACCGTTTTTGCAGCCAGCTGTTGTTAGCGGGCGTTGGTCTTAATGACACGTTAATTTTCGTCAGTTGTCCCCTAAAAAAACAACGGTTAGCTGTCTCCCACAGACAAAGGGCCCCCCGAGGTTTTTCTTTCACCATTGCATAACGACTCATGAGAGCACAGACCTCCCGAGGGAAGCCCCGTACCGGTGAAGATTTTTATTTCGGGGCGAAAGACAGACGTAATTCGTATTTTCAACGAATTTCATGCCACCTCATCGCCGACGAAGATCGCAGACAACGTTTTGATCGGGTGCGTGGGGGGCAGCATAGGGGATGCGACATGCCGATGGTGCGGGATCGATCCATCGTGCCTAGATGGCCGGCGAACGAGACAATACAGAGCGAGGAGGATAACGCTGATATTGTTGAACCGTTCTGTGGTGTCGCCCACAGCAACACAGCAGCTTGCTGCATCATTTAGACTAGTCCGGCCGGCCGAAAGAGTTGAAACAACCCGAGCCAAGCAAGCAAGTAGATGTTGTACCTTCTCTGTCTGTGGAGGACGCGATTAAGTAGTAATGCAGCGGCACATGGTAGGATAAATCTGATAATGTGCATCGCATACGTGTGGTCAATGCGTAGATATCCCGTATCTATCTACCTTTCGTTCTCGTCTTTGGGAACAAGAAGAAATGTGCGGAGATCCGAACATGAAGCAGCACAAAAACCGGACAACGGGAGAACGGTAGGCAAGGTGGCCAACAGAGCGGACAGTCTTCACTACCGTATATGACACAAGATAAGATAACACACTCCCTTGACCAATTTTCGAAGCTCGATTTCTCAACTGCAGGAACAGCCACAGTGCCGAAAATGGCGGCGTTGAAACCGTCTCTTGAGAGCTTTTCGAAAATGTATCGTTTCGTTTATGCATCCCCTTCGTTGTGGAGTAATCGAGCTTTGAAAATCGGTCCAGGGGGTGTGTTATATTATGTGATATAAGGTACGCAGCTGGTAGCACACATGCACGTCCAAAAAAAGAGAAAGAAACAGTTCGTCTTCGCGAAGACGGACAACACTGCTGTGCCCCCATGCGCCCTTCTCGCATCACCCACCACCTTGTGCGCACACGATGCGACAAGGCAACACAAAGCGTATCATATCTTTATTCTACCTCAGTGAGTGAGAAGCAATCAAGAATGAAAAATCAATCAGTTGTGGTTGGGCGGGTGCTGTTGCGTGCACTGTCGTGGATGTACGTGTACAGCAGTCGTCAATCGATGTCACCTCACGAGAGCTGACTTCGTACATGACATGTAAGTCGCGAGGGAAGGGATTGCTGTACCCTTCTCGCGATAAAAATACCTTAGGCATGAACCGCAGGAGGGGATCCAACCCCCCCCTCCTATGTGACCCCGGTTGGGTCGTCTAGCTAGTAGAAGTAAAGGATAGGGGCCAGAGGGGCAGACGACAGAGTCCAATGATGGGAGAAAAACAAACAACAAAACAAAAACAAAACCTCACGAGAGCACTGCACGCTGGTGTGACAGCTGCAGTTTGGCTATACTATTCGGCGGCTGTTGAGTAGCTTGGTGCGCCCGGCGCAGTTTAGTCTAGACGGCAAAAATAAAAGAACCCCGCGGCGAGTTTGCCGGCAACGATAAAATACAGTAAACTGCCCGCGGATGTGGTAACCCGCCGCATCTGTGATGTTCCGGAGCGTGATGGCTCTGATGTGTTGAAGCTGGTGCTGTGATAGCTGTTGTGATGGCGTGATAGCCTAGAGACGTGACAGCCTGGCAGCGTGATATGTGTGGACACGGGCGTGATAGCCCAGAGCGTGATAGCCGGGAAAAAGAAGATGAAATTTATCCAAGTGCACGTGGTCAACACCGTTGCCGACACGTATACCCAGGAAACAACAATATGTGGCAAACAGGGTACCACCATTCCCCCAATATACCACAACTGCGGAACCCCAAAAGTTCCCCGCTCCATCTTCTCGGAACGTTCCTCGGTTGCAATAATCTGTCAATGCTGTGAGTACATCCAACAGCGGCTGACGAGAGGCCGAGGTAGGCAAACATGCGAAAGAGACATTCTACTCGCACCCTTTCCACACAGCACGTGCTGCGTGCATAGACGGGCGGACAGAGATCGGGCACAGCAGCAGCAGCAGCAGCAGGAGCAGCAGCAGCCCTGTTTTGACAAACTTGTTTGTCCGCTGTTTACCCGCTACACGATGGTATGATGGTATTGTGTAATGTCTCCCCGCCTCCCCCCTCCTCCCCTCCCCGGGGGAGGCCGAGGCCCGCAAGTGCAGTTAACCCTCGAAAAAACCACCCAACAACGACGGATATACGGTCCCTAGCACCGTGTAGGAGAGGATCCTGAGTTTGGCGGTCGGGAGTTACCGCGGTCACGAGATCGAGGTAGGTCGTGATAAGCCAACTTGGAGACAGCTGCCGATGGGTTTGAACCCAAATGCCCCGGTTTGGACACCGGGGCAAGGCAGCGGTGGAGAGCACGGAGAGGGTGGCGGGATGATCGCACACCGTGTGGGTAAGCACCCAACAGGGGGACGGAAAGGGTCCAGAGCTGGAGAGCCACGCCGCTCCGGGACAGGAAGACACCTCGCTGGGAAAGGCAAGCACCGGGTTAACTCTTACATTAACCCGAGGAT